TTTAATTAATAAAATGAAAATTTATGAGTTGAAGCAGTATTTAAGACTTCGAAATTTGCGTGTTTCTGGAACAAAGAAGGAGTTGGTTGCTCGTGTATTTTCTGCAATAGAAAACTTTATTGAGCCTGTACTAACTGCTACCGAAGCAGTCGAAGAACTTAAAGATGAATATCAAAAAAAACTTTTAATTGACAATGTTAAATGCAGTGATCCGTTTATCTTATTAGATGGTTGGTTATCTGAAGAGGACAGTATTAAACAATGGCCAATGGTTTTGTATTCAGATACTTTTAATTATTTGATGTTTAACCCATCTGAATTAGGCATCAATGACTTGAATGATTATAAAAATTCGAAAGCTTTTAGTTTTTATAAAACAGGCTGGCTTTAAAAACTCGCATATCACTGTATAAGTGAGGAAAGTCGATTTTGTGCAATAAAAGGTGAATGCAGACATTCATAACGTATTAATGACACAAGCCATAAACAGTGGTTGACTATAGAAAAAGAAAATGCAAAAATCCGATCTTGTCACTGTACATTTATGCAGGAATGAGCCAAACATATAACCAAGTTGCTGCAGCAACTTGGTTACATGTTTGTAAGTTGCTGCATGTTTAGAATTGTTTGTCAGTTGCTGCATGTTTAGAATTGAAGCTGCTGTAAGAATGGGCTTAACAAATCCGGCTTGCACAATGGTTTCAAATCAATGGCTTGCAAATCGGAAAGATGTTTTACCTGTTAAAATTAAAAATCTAGATTTTAGCAGAGAAAATTTTTCTCAACATTGTAAAAAAAAAAGACCATTTGTAGACAGTTTGTATAAGAAATTTAATCCAATTTTTAATTATTCTAGTAAACCTAATCATTAGGATGTTGCAAAAGCGTTAAAAGAAATAGCCCCTAATTCCATCATTTTTAATGCTATATCTAAACCAGATATTGACTTTAGTTTGGAAGTAGTAAACGACATTAGTACTTACCAATCAAACCTAATGAGTGTTAATGATATACTGGTAATGTCAAAAGATATATTATCATTTGAAAAAAAATATAACACTTCATATGACGCTTAAAAATATTGAAAAAATTGAGCAGTTGACCAAACGACAAAATAAAAACAAATACTGGTATGAATATAGAAAAGGTGTTTAGAAGCTTCAAAAAGTTATGATGTTTGGATAAAAATAAACAAATTAAATAAAATTGATGCCAATATGTGAGAATTAAATCAACGTATATCTGGCATGTCATTTGTTAATTCAAACATACCTGCAATTAAGTAAGGCAGGGAAATGGAACAGAATGCTGTTAACTGTTTTAATGAAATTTTTAAAATCAATCATAATAGTAAAGCAATGCATGATTGTGGGTTATTTTTAGATAAAGATATTCCTTTCATTGGCGGTAGTCCTGATCGTATTGTTACTTGTTTGTGTTGTCCACCTGCATTTCTTGAAGTTAAATGCCCATTTTCTAGAAATTACTTGTCCCCATTTGATCCGAGTGTAAAACTTCCGTATTTGATTAAAAATAATGTTGGTATTTCTTTAAACAAAAATCAGGTCTATTATTTGCAATGTCTTGTGCGAATGGCTGTTACAAGGCACCATCATTCATACTTTATGGTGTGGAAACCTCATGGAAATTTTATTGAACATATAAAATTTGACAATAGCAAATGGGAAGAAATCAAGAGTAAATTTATAGATTATTACTATAAATATTATTTGAGCACAATTTTTATTCAGCGCTAAGTTTTGTCGAATAATTAGAAATTGGATTAAACTTGTTATGTGAACTGCCTACAAGTGATTATTTAACTTATAATCAACCACAGTTTATGGCTTGCGTCATCAATATGTTATGAATATCTGAAAGCGAGAATGATTGGGAAAACCATTGGTCATTGTTTAATACTGCCCTCTTCAGAAAACCAACTATCTAATAAGATAACTGATTACTTCATTTAACTTTGTTAATTAAATTTTTTTTTGATATTTATCATAAAGTTCTTGGACTGCCTCAGTAGCATTCAGTACAGGCTTTATATAGATTTCCACTGTGACAATATTTGGCAAATTGTTTTTATTTTTAATAAGGAAAAAAAAAATGGCTACATTTCTAGAAATTTCTGTTTTCTCCATTCAAATTCTGATTCCGGCTGCTTCAGCTCCCCCCCCCTCCTTAATTGCGTTTTAGCCCCCCTTCTCCCAACTTCAAAAGTGACAACTATGTCAAAACAGTGGCGGATACATATGGGGGGGGGGGGGGCTAAAGGGATAATATCTTATTAATTTTCAAACTTCAAAATTTTATTTATAAAATTAAAGAAAAAAAAATACAAAAAATTATGTTGCAACATGATTTTTTTGCGAAAATTTTATTTATATACATATATTTTTAAATTTTTTTTATTTATTAACACATTTCATATATATTATAAGTAAACTAACTTAAATACATTCTAAAGCATCAAATGAAACAGTGGTTTTATCGAAAAAATTGTTGTGTCGATATTATATGGCTGTTACTTTTTTATATTCCCGAAATCCCAGGATTGTCTAATATTAATCCCAACAATTCGAGGTCGAACGTGCGGAGAGGTTGGCGCCTCTTTTTGTAGCGATTGCCCTCTCCTTCTAACACTTGTCCTCTATATTGAATAAATTTTGTTATAAAAATCAAGTAATGTATTTATTTGCTATTATAAAGTGCTCTTTTTTCAAAAATTTCCACTTCCCCTTCCCCTTCCCACAAAAATATTTTAAGATATGGGCCTCTATGGTTAAAGTTTAAAGTTTGAAATACGGCATAATTAAAAAAATATATTCCCTATGGACTTGTAAGCATGATATATTGTTAGGAAAGTAATTCAATGCAAAGTAAATTTTTTCTAAGTTCGTTACGCATAATTATAAGTGCTGTATCATAAAGGGGCTAGGAAAGTGCAACTTGTTGCTCTTAAATTTAGGCCAGGGAGGCCAATATTTTAGGTCTTTTTTGTTCCCAGGCCTCAACATCGTAGTCTTTTGTAAAGAATCTTGTTTTGACAAATCACGGTCGTTTAGATGTGGAAAGTTATTATACGCAAGCGCAGTGTCAAATTCAAATTTTATAATTTTAAAGATGGTGACGGCCTTTAGATACCAAAATTTTTTCTGAGTAGCAACAATATTTTTAAAGTTTTACTTAGTAGTTATTATTTGCATATTTTTGATAGAATGAAATAATAATAAAGATAATTGAATTGTTGATTCAAAAATGATAAAAACAATATAAAGATGTTTAAATATATAAAAAACTGTGATTCTCTGCTACATTTATCTGACTGTTAAAAGCGTGATTTGTTTACATTTTCAAAACTGTTTTTCTAAAAATCTGAGCGATACAATTTAATAATTTTTACTTTTTTATTTGAATAGTCTTATCTTGATTTGAAATTGTTTTCAGATCTGAGTATTCAATTTTTTTCTGAACAAAAATAGAATTCACCCAACACTACTTTTGTAGATGTATGATACATTTATATTAAGGTATATAGCTAATATATATATATATATATATATATATATATATATATATATATATATATATATATATATATATATATATATATATATATATATATAATTATAAATTATAATATATAATTATATGTGAATGACTATACTATAAATGCAAAAGAAAAAAGGCTAAAAAGTTCACAAGTTACTTATAAAGTATGTAAGATAAAATATTTATATATAAGTTAAATATAAATGTATTATGTTACATAGTTTATATAGCATTTAATTTATATTTGTTTTTATAATATAGGTAATATAAACTATAAAATATAGTTTTTATAATATATCATAATCATTTAACTATATATTATATACAATTTGTATCCAATAAATTTGTGTGCATATTATATTACAACACGATTACAACAATTATATGCAAACACAATTAATGCATACAAATCAAACTCTGAAAAATAATAAAATATTAAAAATAATAATATATGTCCAAGCATAGTATACTATGTAATACAATACAGTATATATATATATATATATATATATATATATATATATATATATATATATATATATATATATATATATATGTATATATATATATATATATATATATATATATATACATATATATATATATATATATATATATATATATATATATATATATATATATATATATATATATATATATATACATAGTTGTTCTAAACACCTCTAAAATGGACACCTAGGAGGTCATGACCACTTAACTAACTTATAAACATTTCAAATTATCAACTAAAACATTGGTTTATCTAATAAAAATAAACAAAATATAAGATTTTAGCAATTTATTACAAGTGTTAAGCCTGCTCTGAAAAGGCAGAGGAAGGGGAGAGATTCCTGACACTGGAATTGTTGGAGAAAAAAAACACATACCAAACTTATTAGCCTTTTTTTTCGAAACATATACAATTACAAGAATGTAATGTTCATGAGGATTTGAAAAAAAATCAATGCAGTTGTAATTCAATCTTTTCTGTTTTCCAAGTTCTTAAAAAAAAATTCTAGAGAAAGAGAAAAGTAAAAAGTTTAATTAAAAAGGGAAGGTAAAAATAAAAAAAATGGAATCCATGTCACAATGATCGTGTATGTTCAATGGATTATGTCAATAGAACATATACCATTGCTAACATAAAGCTAAGAATGAGTTTTAAATAAACATTGTACAAAGTTGAACTTTTTAGTTTTGAAAGGTATTAGTACAGATTCCTGTCCTAACACATTACTTGAATAATATTATTTATCGACTTTAAGGTCTTATATTTCCATCTCTTGAATTATTGACCAAAAAAGGTTTTAAGTTACAGAGTGCAGCACAAGTCCTCACAGTATCATCAACATGACGCAACATTGTTAGAGGAAAAACATTCTTTAAAATTCTATAAGTTTTCATTCTATTAATGACTCGTTCAACGTGTATTCTTAAGTTTGCTATTTTTTAGTTTTTTTACATTCAGATGCAATCATTTGACTTTTAAGACGAGCACCTGGTGAAATTATCAAAGTACAAAATCTTAACAAAAGTTCTTCCTGGATTTGAAATCCATGATCTGCCATGACTTTATCGTCACGCTCTAACAAGTCATAAAAACCACTGTCTTTTGTTATAAAATTATCTGAACATCTTCCACCATAACAATCAGATAAAAAAGTGATAAAACCACTAGGCAAAATTCCTGCAAGAAACTTAAAGCTATTGTGTTATTTATAATCAGACCAAGTTGAGGCTTGTGCTAAGAGAGACTTGGGTTGTTCAATAAAAACTTCAGCACAATCAATAATCACACAACACTTGTAATATCCTGCATTCTTAAAAACCGTAGGCAAATTTTCCCTGATGGTTCTACGTGGAAGCCATACAATAAGAGCACTACCTAACACATTGCTTATAAGTTTAATTCATGTGGAAAATATGTTAGAAGAAGTAGTAGGAGAAATTCTAAATCGTTCTGCAATGTCTTCATTAAGAATACCAATACAAAGTTGCATAAATGTTAAAAAAAGTTCGTCACGATGAGAAAGTTTTCTATATTCAGTTGAGTGAAATCTGCGCTTTAATTTGCTAGTGTTCTGAACATGTTTTGGTCCACGCCAGTAACTAAGCTTTTGAAGATAGGTATAATAAGTAAGTAGATGGCATTAAATAAAGCTATTGTAGATATGCCTGTATAAAAGTACATTTTTTTTTTGTCTGTTTTAACTTTGTTGCATGAAAAAATCTAATTTCTTAGTTAATAATTTCTTAGTTTGATTTTGGTTTAGTTGCTTCAAGGATATATTCAAGAAATTAACTTTTTAAACAAGAGAATCAATCAAAGATGTTTTAGAATTACATCCTTCACACACATTTAGCAATGACTGGCTAGCAAATGTATGTTCACCGCTTGGGGGTGGTAGATAAATTGCATTATCGTTACTATCGTTATTATTATTACTGCATAACTCATTGGTATTATCTTCAGTTGTATTATTATTAGTTTCATTTCATTCTGTGCTAATACCTTTCAAAATTAAATAGTTCGATTTTGGACAACGTTTATACTCTCTCTTGGCCTAATATTAGCAGAATTATATCTCATATTTAAAGTAGGATCTGGTTTAGCAATGGTAGGTGTTCCATCTCCAAAATGCATCGAACATACACGATCACTGTTGCATGGATTCCGTTTTTTCTTATCTTTACCTTCCCTTTTCTAATAAAATTTTCCACTTTTCTCTTTCTCTAGGATTTCTTAAAGAACTTGGAAAACAGTGAAGATTAAAAGGACGACTTACATGGCATTCTTGTTTTTTTTATTTCAAAAGTTTATAATGGCTATTTGAACACCCTATTACTGCACAGTTACCTATTGCCATCGTGTTGAATTCAAAAGATGAGATAAATACAAATAAATACTAATTCAAATACAGATATTTAGGAAGTTTTTTTGACTTTTACCCACACAATTATAGTTCAATCCCCGCCGCGCAAAATGGTAGAATTTAAGTTGGATAGGTATATTGTTTCCTTATAAATTTTATTTAATGTTTTAGGAAAGGTTGCTTATGTCTAGCATGTAAACATTATAAAAACCTTTTGCCGCCAAAATATAAAAAAAAAGGTATTTTTTTATATTTTTAGAAGTTTATTGTAATTTAGTGTTTCCTATCAAAGAATAAAAATGATTGTGGTCGAAAATCCATTATAGAAAAAACCAAAATACCTCTCCTCGATGATTTTAATTTATGATAGTAAATTTTCCTTCAACTTTTCATCAAAAGTATTAAAAAAACTGCCAACGTGAGCCGTTGCATTATTATTTATGTTACTTATATGAAGAAAGAGAGTCTGGCATGGTACACCATACTCTTATATATATATATATATATATATATATATATATATATATATATATATATATATATATATATATATATATATATATATATATTTATATAATATTATTATTATTATTATTGAGTTTTGTTGTATTCTGTTGGATTTAATACAGCTCTTTGTCGGTTTAAGAGTGATCGATATTTATAAAATAGATCAAAATATATTAAATATTTAAATGAAAAAATACGACTTTTTTATGGGACTTCAAGTTTCATGCCATTCGGCAATCATTCAGCCATATATTTAAAAATCATTAAAATAAAAACCGTTATAAAAATACAAAATTGCGTTGCAACGAGATCAAACGTCAGTTTTCACGCCAAACGGGAATTTATTTAACCGGTGTCGAAATTCGATAGCAAAAACTTTTTTCTGTGCCTACATGCTGAAACCAATTCACTTTTTTTATTTAACAAAGGTTCTTTATTGTATGTTGAAATAAAATATTTCTCATTTATGCAAAGATTACATCTTTTTGAGGATGGGTTATAGGGTTGACATTTTTTAACAATACTCCACTTGATTATTGGTTTAATGCCTGCTTCCTTAAGTTTCCAGATCTCTTTAGAAAGTTCAGTGTCATTTTTATACCTGACCAAGTTGAATGATTTTATGTGGTTTGCAAACCTGATCTTGAAGGAGTTTTCGCTAATACCAATATAAGATTTCTTAGCGTGGTTGACGTTCGCTGGAGTTACGGTAGCTTTGTAAACAATATTTTTAGTTAGACATTGATTTTCTAAAGGACACGCAGCTCTGTGTATACAGTTGCATTTTCTAACGTTTTCGGTATTTTGGTTACGCAAAATGTGTTGGTTGTGATACTTAATAATAGTACTAATATTTGGCATGCAGCTGTAGCTTATTTTGACGGTGTTTCTGTTAAAAATCTTGTGTAGCCTGTGGTGTGCTGGGAAATGTAAGTCGATTAAGTTCTAAAAAAAAAGGTTTCCTAATTTGGTGACAACATTCTTACTAAAAGGGGGATTAAACCATATGATGCTTCGTTTGCGTTTATTAGTATGGTGATTAGTTTTTTGTAAATTTAAATTAGGACGATATTGGATATTGCTGCTATGTCCAGACTTTATAAGGGCTTCTTTGTAAATAGAAGAAGAGTTTTCGAAAATTATTTTGCTGGAGGAGTTTGATGATAATCTTTGTTCAATAGAGGTCGGCAGCTGTTTTAAAATACTTGGTGGGTGGTTAGAGCTGGCATGGATATAGTTTAACAAACTTTCAGGTTTATGGTAAGGTTTGAAGCTGCAGTCATTAAGATTTAATGTAATACCAAGATAATTCACAATTTTTATGTTGCATTGAATAGAAATATTAAGGCTGTTACTTTTAAATATCTGAGTTATATGTTTTTTAACTTTTTTTTCGACACCGGTTAAATAAATTCCCGTTTGGCGTGAAAACTGACGTTTGATCTCGTTGCAACGCAATTTTGTATTTTTATAACGGTTTTTATTTTAATGATTTTTAAATATATGGCTGAATGATTGTTAAACATTTAAATATTTAATGTATATATATATATATATATATATATATATATATATATATATATATATATATATATATATATATATATATATATATATATATATATATATGTATATATATATATATATATATATATATATATATATATATATATATATATATATTTGGCAGCAGATCGATCTTATCATATAACTTTTAATATCAAATATAATAATAGTAATAAAAAGAAAATCAAATTAATCAATAAAAATGAATCAAAATAAACTATATATAACTGTACATTTAAAATATAAATACACTGGATAAAATATATGAAACAATACAAATAAAAAAAAGAAAAAGTATTTTCTGTTGGAGTGATAACTTCTTTTATTTATCCTTTGAATTAAGTTAAAGTCTATTTCAAAGAAAAATCAATATTAGGCAAAACTAATTTATTCCATAAATAAGGACCTCAATAAGAAGTATCTAGTTGTTTAAATTTAGCTTAGGAGAAAGTTTCTTGGAGATTTTTTCCAATACGAAAATTGTTTTTGTTTAAAGGTTTTATATTATAAAAGTTTATGAATACATAGGAGATCAATGATTTTTACATTTAAACATACAATATTTGTATAATTTAAATGGTAGTGGATAAACAAGTAATAGGGTTGTTTTAACTGTTGTATATTTAACATATGTCTAACTTTATATACAATTTCAATACTTTCATAAAAACAAAGTTCATCCAAGCAACTTTCATAAAGATGTTACCAATCTAATGTTTATAGGATAAGTTTTCGTCTACAAATACTCCCAGAAGTTTTGTAACCTTTACCTTTTTTAGTATTGTATTATCAGTAAGGTCGAGCATCGTATTTTGTAGACATTTTTTTCAGAGTATTGGGTAAAAAAGTGTCCATTTTGTTTTCTTAATATTGAGGGACTGCAGGTTTTGTTTTCCGACAGGTCTGTTACCTAAAATGGCTGTTGAAAAGGTGACGTGGTAAAGTTTGCTCTGAGAACTTTTTTAATGAGCTACTTTTTACTTTTAATTGAGCTACTTTTTACTTTTAATTGAGAAAACAATTTTACCGAAAACGTTTATTTGTACTTGAGTAAAATTTCACGCAAGTAACAGTACTTTTACTTGAGAACAAAAATTTCCACTTCTAGTAGTTTACAAGCTAAAAATGGTTCTTAAAAACGAGATTAAGACTCATTTTTAACTGCTTACTTTTAGTGAAAATATTTTCTAATTTTGTCAAACTTAATAATATTTTGTAACTTGCTGGATCTTGCTAAGTAAAAAATGGGATACATAATTCAAAAACCCAACTTAATAAAAAGTTTACTAATAATAAAAAAAGAAAAAAAACCGAAGTAATTATTTAAAAAGTTCTTCAAAAAAATGACTAAACAATGTTTTAAAAACCATTTAACAACATATTTTATATACAACTTAACTACATAATTTACATACACAGTTGAAACTAATTTAAAATTAGTTTCTAAAATTAATAATTGTAATTATGTATCGTCAGACTTTAGCTGACTGATAGTCCAGTAGGGATGGTTTGTCCGTCATACGTCTATCGGACGTCTTGCGGACGTTTTGACGTCCTTAGAACGTCGCTTACCCACTGGGCAACTTTGATACGTCTTAAACTTCTGCGCAATACTTTAGAACGATAGAAATAAATTGTTGGATTTGTCAACGATTTTAGCATTGTTAATGTACTACTCCATAAATATAAGGTATGCGTCCAACTCCATAAAAAAGAGTTTTTTTTTATATGCCACAAATATAATAGTGTCATAATCGGAAAATACGCAAAACACGTTGATAAATACACCATCATTGTTAAACTGTTTATTTTTGCGTCGCTTTTAATTTTTTTATCTGCTATATGCTCATTTTTTCTCTCATTTGATGCATATACGTTTGGATTGTTGACTGATATTTGACGCCTAACTAGTTTTACTCGCATATGCAATCGAGTATGTATGTATAAAACTACTGGTATAAGTATGGGAGATATAGATAAGATAAATAACTCGCATAAAACTTTGTTTTGCGTTAAAAAACTAAATCCAATAACAAGCATGACAATTGTAGCAATAATGATATTCCACTTTATGTAAAAACGTGGGTTTCCATCTACATATTTTTGGTAGAAAAAAGGTTGAAATACTGCAAGATAACGATCAAAAGATGTCATACAAACTGTTAAAAAAGATAAAAACCCAAATGCATAAGAAGTAAAAATAGTAAATAAAAACAAAACACAGTTATGGCTCATTGAAACTGACATAATTAAAACTACCGCCATTGGAACATTTGCAAACATTCCAACGAGTAAATCCCAAAATGATGTAATAGCTAACAAAACATTTAAAGGTGAGTGCATTCTCCGATAGTAATAGGTTATTCCAATAATTCCAATATTCATAAAAACAATCGGACCGGATGAAAACAAAAATAAACAAATAATTGCGTATATACTTCCATTGGTATGTACCTGCAATGGAACGATAAGGATTGTGTTAGAACAATTGATAAAAAATAGCGAAACATTCATGCTTATTATTTTTTATTTTAATATTTTTTATTTCTATTAAGTTTTTTTAACAAAATAATCTATAAAACTTTAATTAAATCGATTTAATAATTTTAGAAAATTTAACAATGCGCTAATAAAAATATCAGCTTTTACGAAAATCGCTTAAAAATTGCACTCGACTGGCAGATGTTTTTTCAATAATTGTATTTTTTATGGCGGCTAGGTCTTATAAAAGTATCTCAATTGCAATCAATTACTTGTTAGTGTTTTGGTAAAATGGCAAAAAGATTATAGGTTTCTATAAAAAAATATAGATCAAGAGGATTCCGAAAAATTTTTAATGTGCAAAAATAATAACGTAAAAAATTTTCTAAAAATCATAAATTCAAAATGTTAAGGATCTTTTAAGGCTATCAACTAAATTGATTGTATGTCCATTGAAAACATATCTTATCTTCATATAATCTATTATGTAATTTGTATAAATGCCATTAACCGAAAAAGTATACCTTATTGCAAGCCTCTTATAACCAATTTTTCTCTCTTAAAAAAGAGATTTTATATATTTGTTTGTTTGTTTACATTTGACGTAATTTATATAACGCATGTTTTTTCAAATACAAACAAGGCTTCTAAAAGAAGATCACAATGATCTTATCGTCAGAAGCCTTTTACAAAAGAGATTATATATATATATAATCTCTTTTATATATATATATAATATATACAAACATAAAATCCATTAAATACATAAGTTTGCAAAGAACTCATGGAAATATTCGTAAATAGTAAAACATTATACAATAAAGTCTAATATATCAGCAATAAATTGATAAAAACTCAAAAATAGATAAAGATGTTTTCAATTGAAAAGATAATTTCTTTAATTTTGGTTTTGAATGAGGAGTAGTTTAGTTTAATTGAAAAGTCAAAATTAGGTAAAACTATTTTATTCCATAGAAGAGGTCCACGATAGGACATACAAGATTCGTCGTATTTAGTTTTGCAAAAAGTAGCATTAAGATTGTTGTCAATTCGTAAATTATATTTGCTTTCAGTTTTAAAGAATAAAGATATTGAAATACCTGTGGAGATAAATTTTCTTTACACTTGAACATAAAGCATAAAATATTAAAAATATTAAGTTGATAAACATTCAAAGCTTTCATATCTTTAAAAAGTGGCGCAGAGTGTGTAAGACGATTTTTAAAATTAATTGCGCGAGCTGCGTGTTTCTGATGATTAAAAAGAGTTTTAAGTTTTGTCTTTTGAATGCTTCCCCATATAATATTTGCAAAGTTTATATGAGAGTGAACAAATGAATAGTACAATTGAGTCAGCTGCCGTTTATTTTGTATGTTTCTAGCTTTATAAAAAATACCGATGCGTTTGGAAACTCTAGAAGAGATAATGTTTATGTGATGATTCCAAGTTAAATTTTCATCAATATAGATTCCTAGAAACTTTGTTACTTTTTCTCTTTTTTTCATTACATTGTCAATATATAGAAATGTAGTATTCTATGTTTTTTATAGAGTGGATAAAAAAGTGTCCATTTAGTTTTAGCAGTGTTGAGAGATAACCTATTTATTTTGAACCAATCAGAAACTTTTTTTAATTCATTTGTCATGTTGTTGAAAAGAATATTAATATTTTCATGAGATAGAAATAAATTTGTGTCGTCTGCAAAGATTATTTTTGTTAGCCTTGAATTTTTATGAAGATCATTTAGATATATTATAAAGAGAAGAGGTCCAAGTATGGAGCCTTGTGGAACATCACACGTTATATTCATTAACACTTCAGACGAGGATTCTTTATTATAAACATATTGCTTACGCTTTGTAAGATAGCTTTATTATTAAAGTTTAAATATTCCCAATTTATTAGCAAAAAATTTTCTTTGAAGGAGTTTAAATTGATGTTGTTGAACAACCTCTTTTTTATGGTGACCATTTTTTACATTTTTTTTTAAAGTCTAGATTTATTAAAAAAAATATAGGAAAATGATCAGATACATCTGTTTTAATTATTTCTTTTTAAGCGATATATTAATAAAGTCAGTGGTTAAGATATTATCAATTAAAGTGGATAAATAATTTGTAATTCTTGTTGGTCGATTTATTATTGGTATTGTTCCTGTTTCAAATATATTTTTGTAAAATTTTGTATTTTGATTTTCGTTATAATTAAAACAATCTAAATTAAAATCGCCAATCAAGTAATTTTTTTTCTTTTCGAGATTAGTTTTTTCTAGAACTTTCTTTTGTAAAAAATTGCTGAGGTCTTCAGTTCTTCCAGTTGGAGGCCTATAACAACAGCTTATTAGCAGGTTTTTTGATTTACAATCTCTTTATTTTTATCAGAAACACTCATATCGCGTCATTATACAAAAGACTATTTGTAACATAAAAAAAGTACTCCTCCTCTACGCTTATTTATATTTCGCTCTAAGGTCATTGAATTAAAACCTGGGAGTTGGAGGTTTAAATTATTCTCAAAATCCTCGTTAGAAACGTTTCAGTTACGCAAATTAAATTAAAAGAATTATCAGTTTCGCAAATGACATTTAAAAAATTTTAAAAATTCTTTTTTAAACTCCTTGTATTAATATGGACAACGTTCAAATAACTATTAATGTTATCAAATTTTAGAAAATATTTAACTTCATTTGGATAAAAATATTTGTATTCAAATTCTGATGTATTAATTTCGTTAAAATAGTTTAAATCAGGATCAGACTCTTCGTTAAAATTTAAAACGTTTGTTTGAAAAAAATTAAAAATCATTAGAATTATTTGAATCCATATTAAAGATTAATAAATAATATAATATATGAATATATAAATAGTTCATTTAAATATCACATGTATAAAGTTTGTTATAAATAACTTTAGCAAATTTACCTTTAGAACGTAACTCTTTTGCTTCGGCGAAAAGCTTTTTCCAGACTTCTATCGTCCGTTTGCTAAAATCTTCGTTTATGTAGATTTTTTGGTTCCAAAGTTTCAGATTGATGTACTTTTCCAAAATCGTGCTTTTGTCTTTGTAAATTAAGAATTTGACTATTATAGGTCTGTTTCTGGGTTTATCTGATTCTTTTCTTTCTACTCGGTGGGCTCTCTCTATATCTACATTATACTTAATGCCAAGCTTAGATTTAATAAATTCTTGGACTTTTTTCTCGCTTTCTTCCCATGATTCATTATCACAGTCTTCGATACCGTTGATTCGAAGATTGTTTCTTCGACTGCAATCTTCTAATTCAGCCAGTTTGTTAATAACAACATCATTTTCTAATTTCTTCTTTTCAATGCCTTGATTATTTATGTTGTTTGTTTTTTTTTAATTGGCTGCTTCGTTTTTTATGTTTTCGTTTTTTTCATTTATAAATTCCACAGATTTTTTTAGTTCATTAACTTCACTTTTTAAATATTTATTTTCTTCTACAATGATCCCAGCGGGCATTTTGACGTCCTAAGGACGTCCGTTAGACGTCTTAAGTCTCGTCCGTAAGACATCCTTAGTTGGTCTCAAATGAAAGGCTTGAGGACGTCCATTCCGGACGTCCTAAAGACGTTTTTTAAAGATGTTCTAGAGACGTCTCTGGCTGGTCTCATATGAATGACTTAAGGACGTCTTTTTCAGACGTCCTAGAGACGTTTGAATTTTACCAAGACATTCTTTTAAAAGTTATATAAAAATGCAATGATTTACAACACACACCTTAGATTTGCCTTAATCTAGGCAAGGGAAGTTATAAAAGGAAATCAATGTAAATAAAGTGTAATTATATATATTTAAAATAAATTAATAACTTTATAAAAATTAAGAATAATTTTTCAAACAAAAAAGTTACATTTTTCAAATTAAAAACAAATAGGTACTGTAGAATATAATCGATAGTGCATTATAAATAGAAGAAAATTGCTTAAAAATGGAAAAAAAATACAACAGTTAATTAAGCCAACATTGATCGAAATCCATATTAGTCGATGTTTTCTTTATTCGGTCAGAAGTATGCCTAACTACTCTCCCAATAAGTTGGATAGCATCCATTTTGGTTAAGTTTTTATTTGACTTAAAAGCAGCTTCTAATAAAAACAACAAAACATGTTTCAATAAAATCATAAAATAAAATATATATGTCATACTTGAATACATGTCATGTTCCAGAGCCAAAAAACTTTTTTTTTTTTTTTTTTTTAAAACATCATTTTTAATTTTTAATTAATCAAACACATTAATAAGCTAATAAGAATACCAGTGACAGCGTTACATAGACTTGTCAACTCTTTAAACTTTTTTTTCTTCTTTAGACAATTCATGCTGTATTCTGACAAAATAGTGTCTGTTGGCAGTCTACATATATAAAAAAGAAGATAAATGCTCTACTGTCAATCATAAATGTTAAAACTCAAACTTTTGCTAATTACTTACAAGAGCAAAATATTTTTAATTGTATCAGCTAGATTTTTATCGCCAATTAATGATAACTGTTTTATCTAAAAAGAAACAATGTATAAGAAACATTGAAAATGTTTATGACAATTTAAAATAAATATTGTAATAATATATATCATACAAACTTTAAAGATGAAACTCATGTATACAAAAGTGATGTATTGGATATCTATATTTGCAAATTTTTTTTTTCAAAACATTAAGTTTATCTGAACTTTTACGTTGTTTAAAACCTTCTTCTGGATTATTAGAGAACAGTGCAGTTCTATCTACTAAAATTTTTTTTCATTTCAGCAAGTTAGAATATAAATTTTTTCTGAAACTTTGAAAAATAAAACATATAAGTAAAGCCATATATATATATATATATATATATATATATATATATATATATATATATATATATATATATATATATATATATAATGAATATGTATGCATCATATAAACATTAATGTATAAATCATATATATATAAATAATAATACATCAAATTAAATTAAACCACACAGTAACTTGGTGTCAACATAAGAAATAATCTTAATAATTATTTATACAACCAGAGATGGAAAGATCATAAAATTGAACGAAACAACACAGGAACAACAAAATATATACAATTTATTTATTCATTTACCTATTTCTACAGCAAAGATATTACAAATCTTAGCATATATATATATATATATATATATATATATATATATATATATATATATATATATATATATATATATATATATATACATATATTATAATATAGATATATATACATATATTATATATAGATATTACAAATCTTAGCATATATATATATATATATATATATATATATATATATATATATATATAATATATATATATATATATATATATATATATATATATATATATATATATATATATATATATATATATAAACGTTCTAAAGACATATTTTGCAGATGTTTTAGAGATGTCTCTGACTGGTGTCATATGAATGACTTAAGGACGTCTTATTCAGACGTCCTAGAGACGTCGGAATATTACCAACATATTCTTTTAAAAGTTATATAAAAACGCAATAAATTACAACACACACCTTAGATTTTCCTTAATTTAGGCAAGGGAAGTTATAAAAAGAAATCTAAGTAAATAAAGTGTAATTTGATATATTTAAAATAAATTAATTACTTTACAAAAAATAAGAATAATTTTTCAAATAAAATTACCCTTTCCAAATTAAAAACTATTAGGTACTGTAGAATATAATCGATAGTGCATTATAAATAGAAGAAAATTGCTGAAAAATGGAAAATAAATAAAAAATACAACAGCTAATTAAGCCGATCATTGATTGATATTCATATTAGTGGATGTTTTCTTTAATCGGTCAGAAGAATTCCTAATTACTCTCCCAATAAGTTGGATGGATGGCATCCATTTTGTTTTTATTTGACTTTAAAGCAGTTTCTAATAAAAACAACAAGACATATTTCAATAAGATCATAAAATAAAATATACTTGAATACATGTCAGGTTCCATAGCCAAAGAATAAAAAAATATATATATTTTATTAAAACATCATTTTTAATTTTAAAAGTTATTCAAACACATTAATAAGCAAATAAGAATACCAGCATTACATAGACTTGTCAATTCTTTAAACTTTTTTTTCTTCTTTAGACCATTCATGCTGTATTCGGACAAAATAGTGTCTGTTGGTAGTCTACATATATAAAAAAGATGATAAATAATGTACGGTCAATCATAAATGTTAAAATTCAAACTTTTGCTAATTACTTACAAGAGCAAAGTATTTTTAATTGTATCTACTCGATTTTTTACCGCTAATTAATGATAACTGTTTTACCTAAAAAGAAACAATGTGAAAGAAACATTGAAAATGTTTATGACAATTTAAAAGAATTATTGTAACAATATATAACATATAAACTATAAAGATAAAACTGACTAATACAAAAGCGATGTATTGGATATCTATATTTGCAATTTTTTTTTTCAAAACATTAAGTTTATCTGAACTTTTACGTTGT